TGTTATGGGGCCTTTCCTTTGTCTGGAGGAACAGACGATGATGGTTCGACACGTGGGAGAGCTCTCCTATAAGAAATCACTCTCCTATCAGATTTCATCATGTTATCCTTCATTGCCATGTTAATAGCTTCGTGCAATGTCCAAATATTCTGCAACCCAATTATATCTTGGATAACCACCTTCAAACCATTGGAATATCTAGCTACCCTTTGATTTTCGCACTGTGATAGGTTTGTTGTGCTCTGCCAACCACATAAATTCATTGGTACAGTCTGATTCTATAAGATTACGTTGTAGGCATCCTAGGTACGTGTGATACAAAATCTGTTTACAATCTATTGGTAGAAATCGATCTAACATAGACTGTTTCATCCTTCTCTCTTTTCCTGTCTCCTTCGAGCATTTTACAATTGATCCCACCATACTACTGCTGCAGATTTCAAATGGAACTCCATCATCTTAACCATCTTATCCTCTTAACCATCCATAATTTTGAAAAATCTTTCAACCTCTACCAACTAATCCAAGAAGTTTTGATGTTCATATTATCAAAGAATGGGGAAATATCTTCTTTAATTCGATAATAATTAAAGGTATTTTGGTTATGTTGATTAGGTTTACGCGAAAGCACTTTGAACTCCTTCTCCGACTTCGATTCGCTTTCTTTTATTGCAAGTCTCCTGTTAGTCACTCTTCAAATTACAAGCTCAGCAATTGGTTCATTGTCGATTTCCTATTGTTCATTCTGCCCTTTGTTTCCAACAACTTGAAGCAACAATTGATGAATCTCTCTGATCTGAGTAGTAAGATCGTCAAATCGCTGATTTTATCCAAATCCAAATCTATTCAAGTAATTGGTATGTTACCCATGGTTGTGAATCAAAGATATAGATATATAAAAACCTATCTCTAATATCACTTGACGCGGCGCAAAACAAGAAATTCAAACAAATCTTTTGTTACTATGCCTCGAGCTCCTCAAGATACTAGAGATCATAATTTGGTTTCTAGGGACCCATACATCCATCATGGTGAGCCTGCTATCTTTTTTGATGAGTTGGACGAACAATATTTGGCGGAAGCCCTTGTTGGTAAATTTGTACATGGCAAACCTTCTATGATCAAGGTAAGGGAAAATTTTATGCACTTTGGTTTTATTGGTGATTATGAGATTACCCTAATGATGACGCACACATTATCATTCATATGGCACGAGGATGATTATTCACGATTATTCCTTAAACCAACTTGGTACATTGATGGTTGTCCTATGCGAGTCTTTAAGTGGACCCCCAGTTTCAGTCCTAAGCATGAGGCTCCTATTGCTCCAGTTTGGATATCATTTCCTTTGCTCCCTATTCATTTTCGGGCTAATAGTGCATTATTTACCATCACTAAGGCTATTGGGCTCCTACTTCGTATTGACAAAGCTACTTCTGATCTTCAACTACCTAATGAGGCACGAGTTTGTATTGAGGTTGATCTAGAGTGTAAACTCCTTGACAAAGTGTGGATAGAGTGGGATAAACGGGGAGGATATTGGCAGCTAGTTGTATACGATAAGGTGCCAGACTTTTGCTTTCGATGTAGAAACTTTGGACATTCTGATGATAGCTATTCTAGTGGTCTCCATACTGTACCACCTTGTATGGCCCCTTTTCTGGTTGATCAGACTTCTAGGCCTGTTCAGGATTAGGGTAAAGTGAAGGAGGTTGTGACTGCTCTGATTAAGCTAATTAGAAGAGACGGGACAATACATCAGATGTGATTTCTCATTCTAATCCTCAGGGTGTTACCACTATTGCTCCTACTATCACCGTCGCTACAGTTACTACATCACAGACAACTGCTAGTCATATGGCTCCTA